TTACTTTATAGACTATATCATCCATCATAAGACACACAATGCAAGTCTAGATACTCACTGTGATTATGATTATGATTGTCAGTAAACCTGTGTGTGAATACAGATTGTGATTTTCCCGTGAAGAAACAGGCACTCAAAAAAGCATTTAGGCCTAAATTGAAGATTTATATATTTGAATTGCATGTAAAACTTCCATGCATTTGTCTTAAAATAAACAAACTAATAAACTGAATGTGCCGCATATTTCTCAGTCACACATAAATTAAACAGATCAGATTTCTGTAACAGTACTAAAAAACTGAATGTGTTTTAAAAAAACAATAAACAGGTTTATATTATTTGTCATCAATAAATTTAAAATTAGTATTATTATTTAAATTATATTTAATGTGTTATGTTATTTCTATTATTATATTTGATTAATATTTATTAATATTATATTATTATATTCAATATAGTGATATCTTTGATAATAATAAATAAATATAAAGAGAAAAATAAATATTTTTCTTTTTATAAATATAAAAATAAATTACACTTTGTAAATATAAAAATATATTTTAATTTTTGAATGAATGAATGAATGAATGAAGAAACAAACAAACGAACCTGGATTGTGCTCATATATTGCAGTAGCGATGATAAAGGCGAGTGTGTTGGAGTGATTGTGAATAATCAGAAGATTGTGCCGCAGCATTGGGCTTTATTTCAGGCCGTCTTCATCACAGAGCGATTAGAGGACGAGTGCTCTCTTTAATACGCGTGAATTAAAGCCCTCATGAAGGTCACTTCTTCACTGAACTGCTGCCCTTCCGAAAGAAATCATATTCCAGATAAAGTTTCGCCACAGATGGGAAATTAATGAACTCAAAGACTCGTCACACTCTCAAATGCCACATTTCTTCTGTCGACAGACACTTCAAACCAAAGCAGATTCTGAGAAAACACACACTGCACCTGAACAAACCAGATCAGCTAAATATTCAATTCAGCAAAATATGAAAATAAATAAATAAATGGACAAAAATTAAATTAAAATAAAAGAATAATAAATAAAAAATTATGTAAGAATAAATATAAAAATGTAAAAATGTGAATACAATAAATAAATAATACAATTTGAAATTAATGAATAAATTATAGAAAAATATGAAAAGAAATAAAATACATATGAAAAGGGAAAAAAATGAAATCAAACATGATTAAACAAAAAATTGAAAAAAATTCAAATAAAGTATAAAAACGTAAAAAGAAATGCAAAATAAAAAAAAAATGAATGAAAAGGAAAGTTAAAAAAATCAATGAAACACTAAATAAAAATAAAATTAAACAACAAAATAAATAATCAAACAAACATGAATTAGAATTCATGTGATTGGTAAAAGAGCAGGTTACATGAGCGATCAAACTCCAATAAACTCTGTGTGATCTGACAGACCTTTAGTGAGGGGATAATAATACCTGGAATAATAATAATTATGATCCTGTCATCACACTGATCCATCAGAAGCACTAATGTACAGCAAAAAACATCACACACGCCAAAAAATCCTGTTCCTCGTGTCTTGCTGTCAAACTAAAGTATCTAAAAATCCTTTAAACAAGATCAATTCATGTGTGCAACAACAATGCATAAGGCATTATATTTTTCATATTGTAACTTATTAACTTTATCTGATGCAAGTAAATGTGTCTTGAATTCTTCTAGAAAACACACTTACTATCAAAACTTACTATCTGATGCAGTGATGCTTCTCAAATAAATCCATCTCGTTTTAATAATTTTTAAACTGGAAAACACTGCAAAACAACTCATTAAAACGAGCTAAGAAGTCATTTTTTGCAGACACTTGTGAAAATGACAAATGAAAAAGGCTTTCAGTGCAATAAGCCTAAATACGGTCTTCATAAAGACACAATCATTGAAAACAAGACTTAATGTGCTGTAAATTGTCTTTCTCTCCTACCATTTGAACATCATGAGTGTTTTCATGAGTGCTGGGTAGTAACTGATCACGTCATCTGGATTAATCAGATTCCCCAAAAATAGTACTTGTAATGAGATTATATTATGCTTTAAAAAGCTCATAATCAGATTAAAATTACTTTTTTGTGGATTACATGATTACATATTATTCACACAATGGCAGTGTATTATTCATAATTTATTGATTCTCTGGATGTCACTTTTCTTTTAAATCAGTGCCAGACAACAAACAACAGTGAGTTGAAACGGTCAGTAATATAAGAAAAAGTACAACAGAAAAAAATACATAAATGAAATAAACTATTTAGCCTACTAAAAAATAATACTCTAGTCTACAGAAACTGAATAAAGCAATCAAATGTAAAATTAAAACGCTGCATAGACTTCACCGTATGAATTAAATATACATTGATGTTATTAAAGTTATTTAGTGAAGAGCAGGGAAAGAAATTCTCATGTTTCTTTTGTTGTTTAATTAACATTAAATAACAGAAGCAGCAGGACTATTAGGCTGCTGTCACTTTAAAGGGGTCATATGATGTTGCTAAAAAAACATTATTTTCTGTATTTGGTGTAATGAAATGTGTTTATGCGGTTTAAGGTTCAAAAAACACATTATTTTCCACATACTGTACATTATTGTTTCTCCTCTATGCCAGCCATACAATAGCCACTCATCCGTATTGTGTTCCGTCTCAGATCGTGTGCACAGAAAGCTGCTTGATGAATATCTTATTTCTAAACCACAAGAATTTTTTTTTTGTAGCAATATCTGGCAACACTGCATCACTGACACTTAAACAGACAGTATAAAAGCCCATAGAGAGCAACAGTAGTTAGATGGAACTCAGAGAGTTGTGCAGTGAGAGAAGAGCAGCGATGCGGCGACTCTGAAAACTGTGACATGTGTGTCTGGCGTTAGTGTGAGTCCTGATGTAACGTGTGTAAGCTCACGCTGCGGGTCAAAACAAACAACAGGCGGCGCATATATTACTGCAACAACCTGCTGCATGATGTTAATGCTGTGATAATGAAGCACATGTGAATATATAATGCCATCACATTATCTGTGTGTGTGTGTGTGTGTGTGTGTGTGTGTGTGCGTGTGCGTGTGCGTGTGAGTGTGTGCGTGCGTGCGTGCGTGCGTGCGTGTGCGTGTGAGTGTGAGTGTGTGCGTGCGTGCGAGTGTGTGTGTACCTGGTATTTATCACGTTATGGGGACCAAATGTCCCCACAAGGATAGTAATACTAGTAAATCATAGGAAAAGTCAAGTGATTAGCTGATATTAGCAGGAGCTCCTGAACAGCAGACATGTTTGAGGTTTAATGACTCGTCAGTGTTTGTTCATCTTCATGAGGAAAATAAACACAGTTCAACAAAACATCAAATAAATGTGACAACTTGCCCCAACCTGACATTACTGAAAAATACTCCTCTGAGAAAAGTTTAACCTTCAGTATATCCACCATATTTTTAATGCAAGAACAGTCGTCTGGTGTCGTTCACTTTCAGTTATTTTACTAAACAGCTTGTTATGCTGCTTGATTTCACAAACTGGTATTTGTTTTCATATTATTATAATTCATTATTGTAATCATAAACACATTGGTTTGAAGTGCAAACAGTGATACCTTTTACTGCTCTTTGTTATTCCTCCAGTTATTTACCTATTTTCCTGAAGCTCAAACAGTGAAGCAGACGCTTGCAACACAAGGGTCATGGGTCAAATCCCAGGAAATGCATGAACTGATAAAAATGTAAATGTGTACTTTAAATGCAGCATAAGTCGCTTTGGATAAAAGCGTCTGCCATGAATATATAAAATGTTTAAAGCAAACGTTTCAGTCCATCTCAGACTATCTTCAGTGCTTAATCCTCTTCAGTGAGTTGACAACTTGACTTTTTTGTGCAATTTTTTTTTTGTTATTGCAATTTTGTTACTTGTTGTCATTATATATGAAAATCTTCAGTAAAATATTTTGTTCTAAATGCATCTTGGACTTTAAACTTTTGTTTTCTAAATATTTAAATATAAAATAATATATACCTACAGTACATATGTAGTTTCCTTCAAAAGTTTGGAAATTTTTTTAATGTGTTTAACAAAGTCTCTTCTGCTCACCAAGGCTGCGTTTATATGCATTTAAAACTGTAATTCTTCACCAAAAAAAAAACAATTTTTTTTTTACATTTTGTTGCAACATTTTGCAAAAATCAAGCTTGAAGATATTTGGTCAAAATCCCATGTTATAAAAGATGAAGTGCTATGCAGGCTATTTAACACAATATGTGACCCTGGACCACAAAACCAGTCATAAGGGTACATTTTTCAAAATTGAGATGTATACATCATCTGAAAGCTGAATAAATAATCTTTCCATTGGTGTATGGTTTGTTAGGATAGGACAATATTTGGTCGAGATACAACTATTTGAAAATCTGGAATCTGAGGGTGCAAAAAAATCAAAATATTGAGAAAATCATCTATAAAGTTGTCCAAATGAAGTTCTTAGCAATGCATATTACTAAACAAAAATTAAGTTTTGATATATTTACGGTAAGAAATTTACAAAATATCTTCATGGAACATAATTTTTACTTAATATCCTAATGATTTTTGGCATAAAAGAAGAATGATAATTTTGACCCATACAATGTATTGTTGGCTATTGCTACAAATATACCCCAGCGACTTAAGACTGCTTTTGTGCTCCAGGGACACATATTGGATGATAAGATGGCAATGCTGACCTAAAATGCAAAATGTTTGCCCTCTCTCTCTCTTCACCGTTCCCACATCTCAGACCTCAAATACATAAAATATTACCCTTTTCAGACATAGTTTTAGAAAGTAGAGAGTAAAGAAAATACTATACAAAACTTACTGAAATAACCAGTTCTTTATTAACCCTTGTAGGACTCTCACTGGATCTAAGCAAATCTCATAGGGGACCTATTTTGATCTCATAATAGTGAGTTGTCACTGAAACGTGAGGAGTTAGCATCTCTTACCGGCGACGGAGACTTCAGCGGTGCGGCTGACGATGGCTCCGAGGCCCTCCAGCGAGGCCAGGCACTGGTACGAGCCCTCGTCTGGACGGTGGTGGCGCGAGTGCAGCACGTTCTGCACCAGGAGCGATCCGTTGGACAGCTGCTGTCTGCGCTCGTCGACCAGCGAGCTCAGCAGCACGCCGTCCTTCTTCCAGGAGATGACCGGAACGCCCTGATCAGAGCGCGCCTCGCAGTCCAGCTGCAGCACACCGCCCCGAACCGTCACCGCGTCCTGCGGCTCCAGCACGAACCGCAGCTCCACGAAAGACCGCCGAGCATCCGAGCCTAAGGACCACAGACAAAGAGAGACACGTTTCATCTTATAATCCACTAACACTTTATGTGTATAATGCATTATACAGTAAATGGCTATTACAGGCTATAATGCATTATAATCATTCACTGTCAAGTCAAGCCAAGTCACTGTTATTTATATAGTGCTTTTTACAATGCAAATTGTGTCAAAGCAGCTTTTCAGACAGTATTAAACAAGGAAACGGTGTCCCTGCAGACGACACCAGCAGTTTAATTCTAGGCTGCAGCAAAGTCAGATTGTGCAGAGGACTCATTGTATTACATTTATATCTTGTCGTAATTATAACCAAATTTAAAATGCATTGAGTAACAATTAATTTATAATGAATTAACTCAGGTTACAGTTATTTGTGAGATTGTACAATGCATTATAAAGTGCATTACAAGGCATGATTAATGCATTAATTTAAAACTATAAAAACTGTAAGCTTGTTTCTGCCACAGAATAAAAAAAATGAAAAAAGGTAATTTTATCTCACAATTCTAAGACAAAAGTAAGAATTGAGAACAAAAAAATGCAAAATCACAAAATATAAACTGCAAACTATATAAATCTGTTTCAATAAAAAAAGATACTTGCAACTTTTTATCTCACAATTTAGACTTTGTTTCTCACAATTCTGAGGAAAAAAGTGAAAATTGTGAGATATAAACTCAGATTTCAGAATTCTTTCCTCAGAATTACACCTTGCAATTCAGTTTGTTTAGTTTCTGCCACAGAATAAAAAATAAAAAAGGTAATTACCACTTTTTATCGCACAATTGTAATTTCTTTCTGAGAATTGCAAATTCATATCTCAGAATTTTCAGTTTATAGTTCTTATATCTCTATATAAACTCTGAATTGTAAGATGGTGGAAACAAGCTTTCATAGAAAACAGAAAAACACAAAACTAAAAACTAATTCAAAACATTGATAAGTGCAATAGCATCTGAATAATGCTCAATTAACACTGTATGCTTGTTTCTTACACACAGATGCTAGTGTGTGCGTGTGCAAATGAAGGTGTGCTTCCGCAGCGGGCGCTTCAGTTTCTCTTCACTGAAATGCATTCATGTGTCTGGAGGCTTTCATTCACGCGACGCTCAGAAGCGCATCAGACGCTGCTAATTCATACCTGCTGAGAAGCCCTCATTCTATCTGTGTCTTTGTTTTTGTGTGTGAGAGATAACACTTCAGCACTCAGCATGATAAACCATCACCGCACGGACCCAGCGCCACACACACCCCGCTTATTAGGCAATATTTTGGTTAATTTGATGGGGCTTTCAGCTCCCGATGAGAGGCCGTTCACACAAGATGTGTTTCTGTGTTCAACAGCAGCTAGATGCAGTGAAACGCAGCAGAACCGAGTCTGAGATGCATTTCAGAGGTTTAACTTGACACAGAATCCTAAAAACATGTAAATGATGCATTTAATCTAAAGTTTGGAATAATTATGATGTTTTTAATATGGAAAAAAAGTCTCTTCTGCTCACTAAAGCTGCATTTATTTTATCAAAAATTGCTAAATATTATTCTAATGTAAAACAGCTGTTTTCTATGTGAATCTCTGTTAAACTGTAATTTATTTCTGTGATGCGCAGCTGTATTTTCAGCATCATTACTCCAGTCTTCAGTGTCACATGATCTTCAGAAATCATTCTAATATGCTGATTTGCTACTCAAGAAACATTTCTGATTATTATCAATGTTGAAAACAGTTGTGCTGCACAATATTTTTGTGGAAACTGTGATACATTTTATTTTTCAGGATTCACAGATGAATAGAAAGTTCAAAAGAACAGCATTTACTTGAAATAGAAATCTTTTGGAACATTATAAATGTCTTTACTGATCAATTTAATGTGTCCTTGATGAATAAATGTATTAACTTCTTTTTTTATGGTAGTGTATCACACAACTGTGTTCAACATTGATAATAATCAGAAATGTTTCTTGAGCAGCAAATCAGCATATTAGAATGATTTCTGAAGATCATGTGACACTGAAGACTGGAGTAATGATGCTGAAAATACAGCTGCGCATCACAGAAATACATTACACTTTAACAGAGATTCACATAGGAAACAGCTGCTTGAAATTCTAAAATTATTTCGCTATTTTTACAGTATTTTGACTAAATAAATGCAGCCTCGAGCAGAAGAGACTTCTTACAGAATCATTAAATAATCGTAATTATTCCACACTTTTGACCATATGGACCATTTTAAGAACAAGCAACACATCAGAAGAAGAACACGTTCAGCGTGAAGCGAATGACTTTAGCTCTATTTAACATGTTAAATTCATCCAGCAGAATTGCAGACTTCCATCAAAATCATCGCAGAAGATGCGTAGAAATTCTGGTCTGGACGAGCTCTTAGAGTAGAAGACTCTCTGAATCTCAAACGCTCCTCATCTGCATCACGCACGGATGACAGCTCTTCTTCACGAAACGCCGTCCTGAGATGGAAATACTTTTACAAAGACAAAAAGAGGACGGCAGAGATGGGACAGAGCAGAACGGATGTGAGGAGAGACGGGGAGCATCCTTTATTTGACGCGCTGAAGCAGATGTAATTGAAAAAAACCTGTGAGGTTTCCCTCAGCGGCGGATTTTAATGCGATAGTCTGACAGAACGACACGCTCCGCATGTGCAATGAGACAGACGCATGGATCTCACACACACACACACACACACACACACGCGCACTTCATCTGTAAATTTAAGTCTCACTGCTGTACTAAACTCTAACATCTAAACTCTTATGTGTGTCGTACAGAAAGACTCTCAGCATCACATGGGTCCCTCACGGAGACGATCCTGTCCCACCGTATACATGCTTCTCTGGGTAAACATGTTTTCAAATCCAGTCCACACTGCAAGCAATACATAAATAAATAAATATATATTTTAAAAAATATCTTAAACACATGTTGTAAACAGTGAGGCTAAATGGACATATTTTTCTAAATATATTTCATTGAAATCCTGCCAAGCTGGCTACATATTTCAGACGCATGGGATTTCAGATATTTTCAGATATTTGGGAGTTTGTTTTTTTTTTTTTTATTATTTTTAATTATTTAATTAACTTTCATTTAATTTTTAATTAAACTGAAGCCATGAAGAAGAAATAGTCTAACGGTAGATAAAATAATAGAGTGATAGACAGAACATTAGAATGATAGACAGAATGATACATAGAACATTAGAATGATAAAAAGAATGACACAGAATGATGAATGATAGAAAGAACGATAGAATGACAGAATGTTAAAACAATAGATAAAACAATAGAATGACAGAAAGATAGATAGAATGACAGATTGAACATTAGAATGATGGATGGATGGTTGGATAAATGGATGGATGGATGGTTAGTTGGATGGATGGATGGATGGATGGATGGATGGATGGATGGACGGATACTGATGGATGGATGGTTGGATGAATGGATGGATGAATGGATGGATGGATAGACGGATGGCTGGATGGATGGATGGATGGATGGATGGATGGACGGACGGATGGATGGACGAGTGGATGGATGGATGGATGGGAGGACGGGTGGACGGATGGGTGGACGGGTGGATGGATAGATGGGGTGGGTGGACGGGTGGATAGATGGATGGACGGATGGGTGGACGGAGGGAGG